AAATGTATATATATATATATATATATATATATATATACACAAAATTATAGTCGTCCTGTTGTGCTACCAAATACTAGAGCTCATTTATTCTCTCTATCTTTGTACCCATTAACCATCCCTACTTTGTACTCCACTTCCCACTACCCTTCCCAGTCTCTAGTAACCATCATTCCACTCTCCGGAGGAGTACCTTTTCCTAGTAGGGACAAAGTCACTGTGTAGGCTGGCAGCCTTGCTGCATTCAAATGACCAAACCCAGTCCGCCTTTGAACTTGAGCGCCCATAGTAGCAGAGAGTGGAATAAAAAGAAGACCCAGCACAGCTTGTTTCATCTGGAAGTCTTTGCAGGTCTGAAATGTCTCGTCTGCAGCCTGGAGCTTACGCTGTTGAGAATCTGTAGCGAGCCTCTGCGTGCTTTCTCTCAGGGTCCTGGGTCTGAGGAGTGTCGGGGGGAATGACAGAAAGAGCAGAGGGCATTCTTTCTGCCAGGGGTCTGGACCTCAGACTTTCTTCTAAGACCTAGTGTTTGATAGCACAGTAGAGTGACTTCAGTAAACAATAATCTATTGATATTTCAAAGTAACTAGAAGAGAATAATTTTTTTTTTTTTTTGGCTCAGGCTGGAGTGCAGTGGTGTAATCTTGGTTCACTGCAGCCTCCACCTCCCAGGTTCAAGTGACTCTCCCACCTCAGCCTCCCAAGTAGCTGGGACTACAGCCATACACCACCACACTTGGCTAATTTTTGTATTTTTTGGTAGAGACAGGGATTCACCATGTTGGCCAGTCTGGTCTCAAACTCCTGACCTCAAGTAATCCACCCACTTCAGACCCCCAAAGCGTTGGTATTACAGGCATAATCCACCGTGCCCAGCCTTAGAAGAGAATAATTTGAATGCTCCTAGTATAAAGAACAGATACATGTTTAAGGTGATGGATATCTCTATTATTCTGATCTGATCATTATACACTATGAGAATGTATTGAAATATCACATACATTACAAAAATATGTATATCTATTATGTATCAATAAAAATAAATATTTGATTCTAGAGGTTTTCTCGAGCTCACATACCCAGCCAAGCTGATCTCGCGACGCCAAGCTTCAGCCAGGGGTCTCCAAGTTTCCTAGAACGATTCTCAGTGTGATGGAGGCTGGTTTTTTCTCAAATTATCAAAGTTGGCAGACACCCAGCTGGACCCGCCAGGGCCTGATCACCCAGCCATCTCTACGGTAACTTAAGCCAGGCAGGCCCACAGAGGCTTCCAAGTGACTGGAGAGCAAACTTGTGCATTAGACAAAATTTACTGAGCACCTACTCTGTGCCAGGCACTGGTGAATCCTGGGGTACAACACAGAACCAGTCACGACCCTGCCTTCAGCAAGCTCCCCACCCAGTTGGAGAGATGGCCAATAAAATAAGCAACTACTCCACTGAGGAACAGGGATGTGGCAAACAAATGACACTCATTTTTGAATAATGAGTAAATTCAAGATTGAATGAATGAATGAAGTACAGAGTATTGTGCTATCCTGGTCTGGAGGATGAGAGAAGGCTTTCTAGAAGAGGTGATAGGACACCTGGAGGACACATAAATTTAGCCATGTGAAGTAGGGAAGAGAGGAGTATTCTAGACTGAGGAAATGGCATGTGCAAATGGCCTGGGGTTAGGAAAACAAGATGAGATGGCAGAACCAAGAAAACTCGAATCTGAATCAGTCAGCTTAGGTTGTTGGGGTAAGGGTGGGATGGTGTGGAAGAGACGCTATTTGTGAAGTATGCAGGGCTGGGGTGTAAAAAAACACTGTTATCCATGTCAAAGAGTTTAGATCCACTTAAAATGGGATTCTTAAACATGCAGGAGAGGTTGGTATTTTCAGGCATCAAGTTTAACCCAATGAGAACATTTCAATAGTGCCTTTATCTCTGTTTTCTGGTGATGATGGAAAAAACATGATGCCTTATAGATTTCTCAGTTCTAACCACACAAGTTACATGTGAAAAAGTCATAGCCAGGTGGTGACACTCTGAAAGCATCCCTGTGAGCTTAGGGTGTGGGGCTGAGAAAATGAACAAGGCCAGATGCCCTTCTATATCCACTAGCCTGGAGGGGCCTTGCCTATGGGGATCCATGGTGCACTAGGAAAAATGAAATTCATAGTCAAGAGTAGGAACAAATACCTGGGAGAGAAGAGCCCAGCCTGGCAGCCTCCAGGTAGCAAACCACAAGACAATGAAAATTACTGAACTCACAGGCCCCTGCCCTTGAGTTCTTCCAGCCTAGTTCCCTCCAAGACGGGCTTGCCAGATTCACTTGTAATACACTGGCTACCAACCATTCACCATCTCTTGGGCAAAGATTCCATGATCCCATCCCTGGACCAAGCCCAAGCCAGAGATCACAGATCTCAGGGTCTAGTTACCTGGCATGATGCATTCCTGACAGAAGTGGTGGAGGCACACCTGTTGCCATTGAACTCCAGAGTTGAGAAAGATGTGGCATCCAAAGTGCAAAAAAGAAGACAAATAAATAGGAGGACTGAATGGGTACAGGACCTTTACATTATTGTTGCAAAAGTCTCAACTCTAGAAAACTCCACCAGAACAACCTTACTTTGAGGTCCCTTCTCCCAAAGAAAAGCTATCCAGGGTGCCAAGCAGGTAAAGTGGCAGCTGTGCTGGACAGAACTTGCTAAAGATAGGCTATCACCTTGCCTGTGTGCAAAGCCTCCTGGGAGAATCTGCAAAGGAGGCCCAGCCTCCCCAGCTCCAGGAGCTGACATCCTGAGTGCTGGAGTTATGCTATTCTCACAGTTCCAATGTCTCTGTGTTTTACTCTCATGACCAATTGCTGAGAAGGCAGAAATGGTTCTTAAGAAATTCCAGAAGTGCCCCCTCCTTTAGGGCCAAGATGCATAAGACAAAGTTTGGGGGAAGAGTGGCTTTTTATGGCAAAGCCTGCCCTAACATTTGTGGGGTCAGGGCAAAGATATAGAAGAAGGTCCGTATACTAGAGGTTTAAATGTTTATAAATAAGTCAGCAAACTTAAATAAAATATGTTCATTTATCTTGGCAAATATACCTTCAGAATGATCTGGAAGTCAGTTATGAAATTAGAATCTTGGGCCATTTCGGAGTGCCAGGCTGTGACATGGCAGCGTGGGGAGAACCTGGCCCTGGAACCATCCCTTTCTCTCCCTGCCTCTGGCACATCCAACACCATGATGGGGCTTGCACACATGCATACAGACCCCTCAGCCTAGGCATCCAAGTTCTGTCCAAATAGCTACCCTTGGACCTAGGAGTGTGGACACTCAAAGCATGGTCTACCTGTGGGAGAATGGGTCCATGGATGAGGCCTACAGAGACCTGGAAAGGGGCATGGGAACCATTTAAACAGATAATTCTGGGATTTCAGGTACCCAGAGAGTGGTTGAGACAGGCAGTAGTTTTAAGAGGGTGCCTTCTTGGATTTCTCATCCCATAGGGAGGACTGTCTGGAGGAGGCCCATGGCAGGGGTCCCTTCTATTCACAGCTAAGCATGGTACTGCAGGCAGAGGCCAGTATCAAACTTACTGTGTCATCCAAGCCACGAAAGGTCTGAACTTTTAAAGAAACCCACCCCCCCATCATGCTTCTAAAGGCGTGCCCACCTTCCCAAGTGCTGGCTTTCCTTCACCTCCCTTACTCCTTCATCAGTCCTAGATCAGCCCTAGACAGGGTTCTGGGGGTCCCTCTTTATTCCCAGTTACCCCAAAGCCCAATCTCCAAGCCCCTTCCAAAGCCCTCTGTTGCAAGCGCATCCTCCCTCCCTTGTGTCCCCTCCATTTCACACGTAGGTAGTAGATGCAGTACCCTAGCCGCCATTCGCATTATTCCACAAGGGTTTCCTGCCCCAACTTGGGCCCTAAGGGACTGATTAGGTTGGCTAGGTTAGGTCCCCTTTATGACAAAACCAACCAGAATTGATGCCCCCACCTGTCAAGGGCACTAAAAAAACAAAACTCAAAAGTTCAGGGCCGAGTTTGAGGATGTGCAGAAAGGTGTGTGTTTTTTCTTGTCAATTGCGACTCTAATGATGGACTCACGTTGCCCGCTCTTCCCTTTCTCTTACACCTTACCTACCTACTAAAGGAGGAGTTCTTGCTTGGTAAGTGGATATAATCCGCAAAGACATGAGAGAATTTATTAGAAGCCACTCAAGAGCCTTAGCTACCTTCTACAAGGGGAAAAGGACACACACAAATATCTATAGAGATCTTTTTTTTTGTTTGTTTTTGGTCAGACTATTTGACTTCCATTTTTTTTTGTCCCCTCCTTTCTTTTCCCCTTTAGTTGAAAACTGCTAAAATGTCAGTTTGCGACCTTGACTTTATATTTAAAAACAAAAACAAAAAAACTCTCATCTTTATTTCATTTCTTTTCCCCATGTGATATTTGTTTAGGGTTCTATTCAGGCAACTTTTTCTTTTCAAAAGAAAAAAAATTGTTAAATTAATTGAGTATTTGGTTGAAGTTTAAAATTTTGGCTTTATCTCCTTTTATTTTTAATTTCCAAGATATATTTTTTCAGGCCCATAGTTCCATTTCTTTTTCCCCTTCCCCTTCCTTTATTTTTTATTATTGTTTTAGGTTGAGTTAAAGGTGTTTACACCCCCTTTCTTATGAGTTGACTCTTTTGTTTAATTCATTAGAAATTAAATTTTGTATAATTTCTTTTTTCTTTTGTTTAATCTGAATCGCATGCTTTTTCTCTGCATGATACCTAAATCTTCCAGTTATCCTAGCAGGGGGTAAAAAAAAAAAATCTCCTTTCTGTGGTATTCTTTCAGGAATTTGTGCTTTTGTTTTTTGGCGTCTCTTCTTTCCTCTCCTCTCCTCTCTCTCTCTTTCCTTTCGTTACAGTGCATCATGACGGTAAACATTTCTTGGTTATTTAGACACAGCCCATGGGCCCAGCACTCAGCAGTGTCCAACGGGTCTTTTTGCTTTCAGATCACTGGGTCGGGGTCTGCTGCTGACCTCTTTACCAAAACAGCCAGCCCGCTCACCACCTCGCGAGGACGTTCCCAGGAGTACGACTCAGGCAACGACACGTCCTCGCCACCTTCCACACAAACCAGCTCAGCCAGGTCTCGGGGCCAGGAAAAGGAGAGCCCCAGTGGGGGCTTGAGCAAGAGCCGGGAGCTCAACAGTGGCAACACCTCTGATTCAGGGAACTCCTTCACCACTTCCTCACCCCAGAACAAGGGGGCCATGTTGGAGAACCTCTCTCCCACCAGTAAGGGCAGAGAGTCAAGGTCAGTGAACTGCATGGGGTTGGGGGTAGGGGGCCTCCCACCTATGTCCACCTTTTCACTGTCTCATCCCAGCCTTCCCCACTCTACCCCCAAGATTCTTTTATTTGCCAGAGAGAGAAAACTGAACTCAGATTGGCTTAATTGTTTTAAAACGCTAGTGGAACTAGCTTCAGGTACAGCTGGATTCAGGGGTTCAAAAATATGCTGCTGGAAATCTGTCTTTCTCATTACATCTCTTATTGTGCTTCCTCATTCTGCTGATCTTATTCTCAAGCAGATCCTCCCAAAGCATTGTCAAATATGCCAAGCAGCTAACATTCTATCGCTTTAGCCAGCCAACAGGAGAACAATGCTTCTTTCTCAAAGATTTCAGCAACACACCAGGGAAAATGCTCATTGGTTCTATTTGGCCCAGCTTAGATCATCTGCCCATCCATGGCCCAGAGGATGCTCTTGGCCAGAATCTGTCACATGCCATCACTAGGGCTAATGAGTAGAAGCTCTCACATTCCTCTACAGGAAAAGCCAGGGTATTGGTATCAGGAGAGATGGAGGGTAGGCAGGCAAAAAAACAGATGTCAGTTTTACCAGTAATCTTAGAAGAAAGGCTAACATTGGCCAGGCACAGTGGCTCAAGCCTGTAATCCCCCACCACTTTGGGAGGCCGAGGCGGGCAGACCACCTGAGGTCAGGAGTTCGAGACCAGCCTGACCTACATGGAGAAACCCCATCACTACTAAAAATACAAATTAGCCACGGATGGTGGCACATGCCTGTAACCTCAGCCATTCCTTGGGAGGCTTAGGCAGGAGAATCGTTTACACCTGGGAGGCGAAGGTTGCTGTGTGCTGAGATCGAGCCATTGCCCTCCAGCCTGGGCAATGAGCGAAACTCCCGTTTTAAAAGAAAAAGAAAGAAAGAAAGTCTAACGTAAGATTCATCATAAGTCACTGTCATTTAAGAACATATCACAGTGTTTACCCAAATGAATTGAAAACTTATCTCTACATAAAAACCTGCACTTGGATGTTATAACCGCTTTATTCATACTTGCTAAAACTTGGAAGCAACCAGGATATCCTTCAGGAGCTGAGTGAGTACGTAAATTGTGATATATCCAGACAATGGAATGCCATTCAGTGCTCAGGAGATATGAGGTAGTAAGCTATGAAAAGACGTGGAGGAAACATAAATGCATACAAGTGAAAGAAGCCAACATGAAAAGCTGACACACTGCATGGCTCTAACTGTATGACATTCTGGAAAAGGCAAAACTATGGAGAAAATAAAATGATAAGTGGTTGCCAGAGGGTAAGGGGAGGGAGGGATGAATAGGCAGAGCACAGAGGATTTTTAGGGCAGTGGAACTATTCTGTATGATACTACAATGGTGGATAACTGTCATTATACATTTGTCCAAATCCATAGAATATATAACACCAACTGGGAACTCTGATGTAAACTACAGACTCGGTGATAATGATGTGTCAGGAGAGGTTCACCGATCGTAGCAAATGGACCACGCTGGTGGGGGATGCTGATAGTGGGGAACGAGTCTGTGCCCGTGGAGGAGCAAGCAGTCTATGGGAACTCCCCGTACTTTCCACTCAGTTGTGCTATGAAACTAAAACTGCTCTAAAAACAAAAGCTTATCAATTATAGATATAGATATACCATAGTACAATTTATCAACGTATCAGAGAACATGGAGACTTGTCAACTTTTTTGCCCATCTTAACACACTCACTAGCTGCAGTTTTCCTGCAGAAAGCACTTCCATACAGTTGCTGATGAGCCAGTTGTAATTCCACTTCATCACCCACTTACTCTCTCACTCAAGAAATCACAGCAAAATGCTAATCACTAAGGGCACTGTCATCATAACAGCTACTAAAATTTACTGATCACTTAGTCTGTACCATTCATTCTGTTATTTATTCCTCAACTTGTTTATCAGGCAAGTCCTTTATGCCAGACACTCAGCTTGGTGCCGGGGATACAAAAATTGAATGGTCCTTTTTCTTAGGAGCTTATAACTAATGGGGCAGATGCACAGATTGCAGGAGGGGTGGAAAAGCCTTGCTGGTGCCCTCTGCCACGCTAACAGTGAGGTTTTTCTACTTCCGAAGGTGGGAGTTTGCTTTTGTTCCATGTAGCCAAGATTTTCAAAAGATGACTAAAGGCTTAGGACTGAAGCAGTTTACAGCTTCTTCAAAGACAGAGCACTCTTTGTCCCTAACACATACCCCACTTCAGTCCTGGACAAACAGCTTGACATCCACATGCAGCACTGGCTGCCCATTTGCCTGCCCTAGGACATCCCTGGCCTCAGCTCACACCCAAGCTTGGCTGAGAACCTGAGCTGGGCCAGAGCAAATGTCCTTGTCTCCAAGAACAGGCAGTGAAGTTCCCAGAAGGGAGCAGGAGGACACACCTTGACTGATACGCTGCAGTGCTATTATGCAGGAAAACGTGCAGTAGCAATAACAACAATAACCACAGTTCATATTTGTTGAGCCCTAATCACATGCTAGGTACCATGCCAAATGCTTTCCAAAAATAATCTTCCTGAGCTCCTCAAAACCTTTATGGGATAGGTACTATTTGTAACCCTTTTTTTACCTGATGGGGAAACTGAGGTTCAGAGTGGTTGAGAAACTCAGTTATAAGTGGCAGCACCAGGATTCAAATACAAATACGTCCCCAGAAGAGTAACTAAAGCCTGGGAGACATCTAGCAGTTACCTGCTTAATTTGATCTCCATGGACAGCCAAATTAAATAATTTAGACCCAGTCTTTCACTTTGAAACACCAATGATGGTTAAGTCCACAGCTATTTATGTCATGCTCAATAAATATGAGCTGAGT